GGTTTTCTAAGAAAAACAAGACAGTGATGCATCAAAAGTAGATTTACAAAGAAATGAAACAACTCTAACAAATCATTTCTTTGGTAGGTCCAAAGGAGAACAAGAGGGAGAGAATAATCCATTACATCCCGCTACACAAAGGAAAAGGAGGCAGTTTCTTACACAAGAGAGGACAGTTTCTTACATCATGAACGAGACTTTGAAATGCCATTAGGGGTGCTTATACAGGACAAGATAACCATTTCTTTCCCTCTGATATTTTAAAATAAAGAATTACGAGTGATCTAAAAGGAAAATATCAACAATTAAGAAGATTTCTTGTCCTCTGATGAAGAGGCACATAATACTGTCTGAAGACAAAACTGGATAAATGGCTGTGCGTGTGCTCACACATCCTGTGTGAATGTTCCTAAACGTTACAGGGAGAGTGCACAAGCAGCTGAAACCACCAGTCTTCCTACATGCAGCCACTCAAACCTGTACCACCATAACCCCCCTACGCTGTATTACAGTTACAGAGAGGGAAAGAAATCAACCCCCCACAAAAAAAAAAAACACCTGCCAATGCAAGTAAAGGCTTATAAAAGTGCAGTAGCACTGTGGGGCTTTTGAATATCAGTTACAGTAGCAGTTAACAGGACCTCAAGGCTACAAAATTAAGGTTCACGTGTAACTTTCTTTATGAAAACAAATTCCACTGGCGTCTTTTTAAAACCACACTTTCATATTTTCACAGCTTCCTTAGAAGATGCTGTGAACATCAACAGCTCAAAGAAAAGAAATACATATATCTGAAATCCAATTAAATTATAAAGACAATACCAGTGGGAATGGAAGTAAATGAATTGAACTGGAACTATAATGAAAGGAAAGGGACTAAATACTAAAGCCTGGAGAAAACATGGATAATTTGAAACACACTCAAACTAACAGATTTCACTGTAATTAGCAACGTAGCTAAATAAGTTCCATATTGATGGCAGAAAAAAGTACTACCTGTTCTAGAAATGTGACCTTTAGTTCACTATACCATTGGCAATTGTATCTTAATTGTCATGCTGCAGCCTATTTTGGGATACGCTATGTATGCTTTCACTCCTGTAAATTACCTTCTATGTCATTGCTTGGCACAATGAATCGGGCATTGTCTGCAACCTACAAAGACAGTTGGTTCTTTACGCAATTAATTTTAGAATCAATTGCATTTAATGTAGAGCAAAAAAGCACTTTGGAAGTTTCTATTTTAAACCATGGCAATGTACTAGAAAAAGGACTTGTCTGCTATTTAATGTGCGCAATATTATAATAGCACAGTACAGAAACCTTTTCATACTGCCATAGTATCACAGGTACTTAATCATGCATTGGTCTTTTCATGTCCTTTACTGCCTGCACTTCAACATATTGTGGACTTCCCCCTATGATAATTACAACTTGAAGGTTAAATCCAATCAATATCAATACAAAACATAAATGCAAATAATCATAAAATATCAGTTAGATATAAAACACGCTGTGATTATCCCAAGGTTGGTCTTCCGCCATTACTACTGATGGGTGAAAGTTATAAATATCATCACCCAAAACTGAAACTCTGTTACTAAATGCCCTAACTCAGGCAACACCACTGAAGCAACAGTAACACTGTTAGCTAGTCATACTAAGAGTTAGAAGAATGACCAGTTAGTCATGGATTGGTGTCATGTAAAGGAAAATACACTTCCAAGACTATACACTTCCAAAATACACTATTTGACCCAACGAAAAGAAAAAAAGAAGGGAAATTGCCACGTTTAGCTATGTACAAATTTTAAACTCTAAAATAACAGCCAGAAGCAATTTTATTCTGTCACTTCATAAAAATACTGAAGTATAAAAATCTTTAAATAAATATTCTCTAGTTAGCAATGACCTAAGTCATGATATTGCTAAAACAATATCTCCTAATAAAGTCAAAACAAACTATTTTGGGCAACTGCTTCTTCAGAGGACTGTCGCTTGTTTTAGGCTAACAATCGAAAAAGATCCATCTATTTCCCCAGGGTCCTCTAAAAACAACAGCATCTAAGTATTATTATATAATTATATATACATTATTACAGCAAAAACATTTAAAGGCAGGTCTTGCATATGTAATCACCTTGAGAGTATAAACAAGCTGTTAATTTCTACATATTATCATATGCATACACTTTAATTGTCAAATACTGGTGTAAGTTTAGATCACAACCTATTCAAACATAAAGGATTTGCAGCTAGGCTGGCAAATGATTAAAGTATTGTATGCTACCTTTGTGGTCTCAGCTGCTTGGTTTTGCTGTCATGTGTTTGATGTTAGTAAAAAAACCCAAAAACAACAACAGAAAAACTCACCCACAACACAGAGACATTATTTTTTAATTTAAAAATTTAAGGCTAACTTAATCCCACTAACTGCCTGTCCGGGAAAAACCAAAATGTGTTGATTATCTGTTCAGCAGTATGAAAAACCACTATTTGTTGTTTTTATAAAAGCTCCTCAAAATTAGAAATCCTCTTAGCAAAATTTCTTATTCATTCTTACCTTAAAAATACAGAAACAGAAAACATACACCCTTTTTAGAATTCTCCACATATTCTGAGGTAGACATTTTCTATGATATACCAGCTATATATGTCAGGGCATCAGAAAAGCTGCATTTACAAGCAAGCAGCAATCTATTATTATTATTTACACGCAAGCAGTAAAAATATTACAAAACATTTCGTGTCAACAAACCATAGCTAAAGCAAAGGCCTGTTCAACACATGAAATGAGCCCCACACTAAGCAGAGTGTAATGGTAGCTTTCTCTGGAATTCAAAAACCCACTCTTTTCTGGAGCATACACAGATATAGAAGAAAGAAGCTGTGGGATATACACTACAAGGAGTAAGATGCAAGTCAATAGAACTGTGAAGCACATAAGCTACTGTTTGCTCAACTATTTCCCTTCTGGATCTTTATCAGGATTTCATTCCTTATTACATGAGCATGGGATCTGTTGTCCTGACCAACACTCCTGATACGGGAACCAGTAACAAATGCATTTCAGTAAGACAAGTTTTTTTTAAAAGAAAAATTATCAAATCATTGTTATTCCACAGGATTGCCAGCTCTTGCCCCATCTGAGACAGAATGATTGAAAGTCCATTTTTTATTCCAGAAAAACAGTACTTGACTGGAAACTAATGTATCACACTAAGAGCATAAAGTTCACAAAAAAACAAATTAAAACAATATCCTTAGTACTATTATAACTAGAATTACCCAGCTGCTTTAAGACTCCAAATGCTCTTGCAATAGCAATGCAATGGGTTTACCACAGATGAACTGAAGCTTACACAACCTGAGTGTTTAGGCTGGAATCTTACAAACATAGAGGATGCACACAGGATTGTTACTAATGCATACATACACAAAAAATATGGTTTACACTTAATTTCTCAGTATGAAACACAGTCAAGGTAAGTGACTGAATTCTAGTAAGATCAAGAATTCAAGAGAGTACATTATTTTAACCCAAGATCGTTTCAGTTTTGAGAGGATATTTTTCCTTGTGATCTAAATGCTACTCACCACAAGAAGCAGAGATAATAAAACTAAGATTGGCACTTTTGATCTTAGAAGCAGCAGCAGTAAAAGCAACTGGTAATGCAATGACATATCAGACTGTAGTTGTAAAACAGAAATATAGTGAACTACCAGAAAAAAACGAGAATGCAGAATTAGATCTGTTTGAAAATTAACTAGTTGGATCTGCTCTTAATAGCTTGGATCTACAGATACCCAAGCTTCAGCTACTTAAGATCCACTGATGCAAGTAACCTTAAGTCTTACACACATTTAAAAAACAAAACAACACTTGTGACAATTTATATTTATGTTAATTATTTCATGGTCAAAATAATATCTAATTTAATCTAAGCAATAAAATGAACTACATTATTTTCTTATTTTGTCCAAGAAATCTATAATGGTCTCAAAACAGCTAATTATTGTTATAGCTTACAATATACATTTTGGTCTCAATACAAGGTAACACAGGTCTTAAAATAAAGCTGAATTTTTATCTGTCAGGCTAGTTAGAACTGCATCAGTCTTCTGGCAACACAAAAGAATGAGACGAACATTCCCTTACTCTACTCATGTTCAGTACTATTTGCTACCCATTGCTGTACTGTCAAGGTCCTAGAATCATTATCTATACACTGTCAGAAATTCTGACAAAATGGACATCCATCTGAGTCTTTCAAAGTTCTGGAGGTCTTCTGCACAGCAGTGAGATGCTGAAAGAGAAGCAAGCCATCCAGTTCACAAGAGAGGAGACGAAACACTTAACAGTGAAGATGGAGTCAACCATGTAAAACTGGGCTTCTCTGCTAGGATTCTTTTAGCAAAAATTCCCTTTCTGTGCCAATATGAAGGAAAACTAAGCACAAGGCTAATGACGACATTTCAGTACCATTTATCACTCCTGTTTTGAGTGTGGATACAGACACTAAATTCTGATAAAGGTTAACAAAGATCGTAACTCCTGTAAATGGAGACACTGCATTGCAGCTAAGCTATAGCACAGCACAATCAGACTTTGTTTTTATTTTTCCTCTGCCTAGGCAGATGCCTTATGTAACATAAGCGGTGTTCACACAGTTACATTTCATATTTCTATTTCACTATAGAGCTTATAAATGAGTTTAAAGGATATATCCTAAGCTCCATCCACCTAACCACTAAATCATGGGAAAAACACACAAAACTGTTCCTCTGAGACTTGCCTGTTCCTTGTTCTAGGCTAGCAATCACGCTTTGTACAAGAGCTGTCTTGTAAAAACAGGTGAATCCTCTCCAGAGGTCAGGCTTCCAGCATTCACACTCTCTCAGAATTAGTTTTACTCAATTTAAAAAATGAATTGCATGAAACAGTCACTCAGTATTTTCACATCTATTTATTTTAAGCCTTAAAGGCGTATTACATTTACCTTGTTTTTTAAAAAGGTTGCTGCGTACTATTTCCTTCATGGACTGCACTTTCTGCTTCTGTAGTTTCACTGGTGGAATGCAAGTGTAAAATTCATATAGTAGTTGGCTGCATGCAAAGGAAAATTATCATAAATGCAGTACAGTTGAATTAATTGTGTGTTAATAAAGCAAGACAAAGATCAAAAGATCATATATTTCTAAACATTTCTTTCTTTAAGACTGCGATTTATTTATCATATCACCAACATTGACAAGAGTAGCAGGCTGGAAACAAACCTTTCAAGAGAAACAAGATGAGTATGAACTAGATTTTGGCCATGTTTACAAATGTTTCTTATTTTCCATTTTTTGAATGGAATAAAGATATCTTTGCGTATGGTGGCGGCAATTTATCTTTGTCTGACAAAGATACTTATTTCAAACTGCTAAAATCAGATTTGGTTTTCTGGAATGGAGTTTATTCAAAGGAGCAGTGGGGGAAAAGGAAGAGGAAAAATAAAGAGGTTGTTCCACTTGCTCATTTTATTCACCAAATTACTGCTTAAGTATTGGGCCACCACAATTAATTCTGTCACTAGGTAAGACGGATAAGAACTCCCTGTTAAAAACACAGACCCAGATTTCCACCACCTTCACAATGGGCACAAGCTAGCACAGGTCAGTTGACCTAAACCAAGCAGTAGGAACTTGCCCAGGCAGCAGCAATACGTTGTACATACCATGTGATACACCCACTAAATGTTCAAGAGCAGCTCACCTCAGTAACTTGGCATCGAAGACCATTTCAACATCATGAAGCACTGATGGTATGTACTTCAAGGCAGCAACCTGAATTGATGTACAGATTGTGTTATTTTTTTACATTTATCTGCATACACAGCATACAAAAACAATACCGAGCACACCGCTGAAACAGATGCACACAAAACAAAAATTATAAACTTGGACTTCTTTCTTCAGACTGAAATTGTACATAACATTCGAGTACTAACTTCAGCACAGAGTACTAGACACACAAGGGCTCTTATGCTGAAGATATGCAGAAAAAATTAAATACAATAGTTCCAAGTAGGTCATATTCTCCTTGCAGGCCACTAGAAGGGCTAAGCCCATCTTTGTAGATTGGATTCTCTTTGTAGACCACTAAGACTGTCGTTACGGTGCAAATATGTAAACCAAGCACTGATCGAAGCAGAAGCTCTCTGATCATACTACATATCGATTCCACCCCAGAAATGTGCCATGCAGAAGGCTGAAGTCAGGATAACAGTCATCTATCCACCCCAAAGCTACAGTTTCTGAAATAGATGGAGTGTCAACTCCCTAACCAACCATCTGTACCTAAGCTATCTGACAGTTTATCTTATCAATTTCTGCAGTATATTTTGAGAGTGTAGTGGAATAAACAAACCTGAAAAGACAACAAGGGTAAGAAAAAGATATATTATATTCTTACATGGACAAGAATACTTAAGCAGGTAATTTTCAGGCTCAAAACCACCCCTAACATTTAAAGGTAACATCCTTAAAGACTAACTCGCAGTGCTCTGTGTCATAAAGATCTTTTTCAGCTTGAAAGTGTTTAGCCTCTATAATACCTTTTGAAAGCTCATATAGTGAAAAACCTTGCAATAAAATGCAGAAGTATTAAACATATTTAACACTTGCTGGGTCACTGTCCATTCATTTCTCTACTTACGCTTTAGACATTAAGAGCTGCTTACAATGATTTTTACACTCATAAAATAACCTGTGACTTATCTTCCCACTAACAGGTCTGTATTACTCAAATATTTTACATATCCAAAAGGATATGCCATACTTGTTGGCTGATAGCTGTAATAAATTCCAAGTAAGGAGAACCTGGCCTCACTGATACCCGCCTAAAGCTGGACATCAGTCTCTTCCTTCCCTTCTGTCTTCCTAATTCAACAGGTCACCTAGAGTAGACTCTTCTCATAGAAGTTCAGATCTGCATAGAGATGCTGCACAATCACTGACAGCCAAAAGAAACAACATCTAGGGACAGTTATTTATCTAAAACCAATTAGACATTACCTCTGTTCCTATTTCAGATGAAAACCACAATGTCTTCTTGCCAAAACCATTTTTGCCTACATAAAAATCAATTTTTGGTTATTGTGCAAAAATTCTTAGCAAAAAGCTATAGTTCATCTTTGCTGCCATCATGAACTGAAGAAAACAGATTTAATCATATCAATTACATTTGCATGCTGCTATAAATCCAGGCATAGTAAAGAGAATCAATTTACAATGTTCCAGTTTGACTAACCTCTTCTTGGCCCAGATTATGAGAATTACAAAGGTAATAAAAGCTTTACTTCATCATACAATTTTAGGGTGCAAATTGATACTAACATTTTGCTGAAAACTGAGTTACAGTAATGTGAATTCTTCTATTACTGATCTAGCTCTATTTTCATAAGAGGGCTGTTCCACCCAAGATACATCCTGGATTTGTAAAAAAATTCAGAACAAATTCCAAACCTATACATTACACAGATGCTTCCTGTCTTTCCTTCAAGCTAATGTGGTATATTCATACAGGACTGATTAAACAATTTACCCAATAAATGCATGCTGAAATTGCACAATTTCCTTTCACTCAGAATAGTGGAGTTTGCTGCCCACCTTGAGAACAGGAGTAACACCTGCTTTATGTCATTCTTTTAATAGGGACTGAAACAGAACAGTAAAGATCACACTTCTGGCTTTACACTGGGCAAAGCACAAAGCTCAAAGGAATTTTAAAAAAGCCCAAACAGAAGCATGTTTCCACTAGCATCTGAAGTCTGTACATATATTAAACTACAGTAAGGGATAAGTACTTCTAAACAACCAAGGAAGTCTAGAAAGACTATAAATCTGGAGCCAATGGAACACAATTCTTGACTACTTACGCCTCCTAAAATCAGCATAAGTTACAGTAAAGTAAAACAAACTCTTTAAACCTAGAGTAAGCTACTAATTCCAAAAAGTTAGCTGTGTTCTACACTGCACTCATCCAGGTAAGTTTTTGAATACTTATACCTGCCTAGACACTGGCCTAGCATTGCTTTTAAGTGAAAACACTTCAGGTTTCACAGTTATGTGCTTTCAAAATAATACTTTAAAATCAACTTCCATCTCTCATAACAGAAACCACTGCTGTAAAGTGATTTGATAAATTCTTTGAAAAAACAGCAGAAATCAGTGATTTTAGCACGATAGGGCAATAAGCTACATCTTGCTCATAAACACATATGACTATAGGTCACAGGAGATTATCCTCTTATTTGAATAAAGCTCAACACTACTCCTGTTTCACCACTAAGCTAAATGCTTCTCTCCTGTAGAAGAAACTCAAGAAGAAGTTTGCAAGTAAAGCACCAAAAGCTTTCTGGAATCATAAGATCCAAATTCTACATAAACCTAAACAAGAGAGTCTAGAGAACTGCCTGGAGTCCACAAAAACTGACAGGACCAATTCTTCCAACAGCAGAAGCCCTGCCAAGAGCTGCAACTGAATCATAAAACAGAAACTGGAAAAAAGCTGTTGCCACTTCAACAAAGAGATTGTATCTTCTACTGATCTTAGCCATTAATAGCTCCTTGAAATAGGTTGGAGAAAAAGATGTTTGGTTTTTGTTGGTTTGTTCGGTTTTTTAATACTAGACTGTGAAACACTGGGGCTATTTAAAACACCCGTACAAATATGTGTGATGGGGTAGAAACTCATCCTAGACCCACTTGTACTTCAGCAATATGTTGTTCCTTGCCTTTCATGCTACAGATACTATATGAAGATACTGCACAACAGCATCACTTGAATTTCATTTTACACCAATTCACAGTTACCATGAAAGAGATTTGATAAAGGATAGGGTCACCAGTGGCCACAAAATATTTCAAGTAGCACTCCGCTGACACCAGGTCTATAGTGCTGTCTGCCTTCCCACATATTCCGTATTCTGTACTTGTATGAGGAGGGAAGTGAGAAGGATACAGCTACCATTTCTCTGCAGACCTGTAGTACCAACTGAAGTACAATAACAAGCACATCCCTTGCATTCTTTCAAACTCCCAAGTTTCACTTGCAGTAACTGCTTGGAATGATGCACTATGGACACAATTGAGCACTGCCTTTAATGAAGTCATAAAAATCTCCTGGTAAGCAGTAAAAGATGTTCGGCATTCTTTAGACATTAGAGATTCTTTTTTAAGCAGGATAGAGATAAACCCACAGCATTGCAGAAGATTATTTCTTGCATATACAACATTCTGTTAATTTTTTTAAACCTTTACTCCAGACCAAGCTTATTTTCTTAGCTGCCTTCTTTTGCAACATTACATTATACATATTCCTGAAATTCAGATACCTATGAAACTAAAAGAACATTCAAATAAATCATTGCTGCTCTGTTTCTTAGTCTAATTTTATTAGCTACCAATACAAATTTAACAAGTTACTATGCCATCCCCTATTGTACACCGCAATCAAAGCAGCACTGTCAGTACCCTTCTAGCCTTATTCTCTCATAAATAATCTATGCATCTCTGTACGGTTTTAAGGTCTTCAAATCTACTGCAGCAGTACGAATGGGTCTGAAACGTGTGGGAAAAAGTGAGAGGAGACAGGTAGCAACTTCATATTACATTATTTTCATGCTTTTCAATGCCACAGACTATTTCTTCTTCCTATGTTTCCATGACCTTAAGAACACATCAGAGAAAGCTTTCTGAAAGCACACAGAGAATTGAGAGTACTACTTTCTAAAATCAGTACCTAGGAGCAAACTGGGTATAGCTGGCATTTGCAACAGACAAGATCATTTGTAGGTCAAGTGTGACGTGTCAAGTGGGGGACAGAGCAGTTACTGGAAAAGAAGCTGGGACTTGGTTTGTAATTTAAGATTGAGAGCACAAGCTTCTCAATGAAAGTTAAAAAATCTACTTTAGATTTACATGTAAATTTCCAGCTTACCTACAACATATTAATTCAGTCTTCATCTGTTAGAAGCTTATATAAACAGTACTGCAATATAGAACCAGTATCTGCCCTTCTCAGACAGTAAAATAAGTCAAAACATCTATCCCCCTCAGCCAGCCTTACAAGAGATTGAAAAACTAGATTTTTAACTTTTTGTAAACTTATTGGCAAGTAAGATATCACTCAGAAGATAAGTTAAATTGAAACAATAGAATGCTTCTGGCACTGATTAGGCTGTTTGATACGATATGTAATTTTATAAACAGTCTTTTCCTGACTGAATTAATGTTCCACACAAGTCTGAGTAAAACTGCTGTCGTTAAAAATGACTGATAAATTACTACTAACTAAAGTACTGAGTTTCGAGTTAAAAAAAAATCACTAGCAGAGATAAACAGACATTTCAGGTTTTAAAAAGAACATAATCTTTAAAGCTAAACCTCATAGGTATTTGGACAAACAAGGGTCAAATAGGAGTTAAGAATTCACATTCTGTGGCTTTGCAAACTAGTTCATTTTAAGTTTCAGTATCTGAGAAATTCAAAGACTTTAACTTTCTTGGATAGGCTGAATCCATGGGCTGAGGC